ACACTCAGAGACTTCACCTACTTCACCCTCCAGAAGTCTTTCATAAGTGTGCTTTAAGAGGACTACACACAAACAGAACTCCCATACAAAAGTAATTACAAAAAGGCACTTACGATACAGTGTCATTTTTCACATCAAGATTCTTGGCTTTCCCACTGGAGTCTTTGACCTTAAAGGGGGATAACTGTAATGATTCAGTAAACCTCTGCCAGTACTCTTCACTGTCAAATACTGAATTTTCCTTATCATTGGTATGAGGTATTTTTGGTGGTGAGCTTAAAATGCCGGTGAATTTCACTTTTCTTTTAGTAGCTGATGGTTTTAACGGTGCTATGGCACCAAAGTCATCATCCAAAAGATCCAAAACTTCACATCCCAGGAATCTGTCTTTAGATTGTGTGGGACCTAGGAATCAAGAGCGAAATGAACTTTTGTCAGGCTTTAATATGACTGGTTTGGTTAATTTTCAGAAGACAAGGTAAGACGGGTTCAATGGCTGTCATTTAAACGACAGGATATGGCATTACAGTCCAGGAACAAGGAACTGAATCGCTAGAAGGCAGACACTTCCTCCAAAATGACAACTAAATAGAATACAAACTAGTGTTTTTCCAGTTTTCTGACCCACCTCCATCACTTACAAGTTTAGTCAGGCTCCAGTTTGAAAATGCTGCATGTTACACAGGATCCAATGTGCTTATTCAGTGTAAGCCCAATAGAAATATTCTAGCGCACCATTAGTCAGAAGATTCAAGTGAGATGTTCTGAGGTCAGGTTAGGCTGGTCAGTAACATTTCAGCACTTTAAATTTAGACTTACCAGTTGCAAATAAAACATTTGTAACAGCAGTTGGATATAAGCAGTACAGTTGCTTGGAATAACAGACATGAGACAAATAACTGACGCACCCAAAAGTCAGGCTTGGGCTAACCCCAGAACCTGCATATGATGACTAAAAATACTGATGTTGAATATTACCATCATTTGAACTACACAAAATGCAGAGGCACTAAACATACTCCATTCAAAACTACCAAATAGACGGAATATTGCCATATACGTACTATTCAACTGTAACTTCTTCCTCGCTGTTGGAGTTTTGATGCCATTAGCCCCTCTTTGTGAATGTCTCTCCTTAGCGAGGGAAGACTTGGAAGCAGAATGTTTCGATTCGATTTCCAACTCAACAGGTTTTGGTTTTGTGGCACTCCGAACATCACTTTCTGTCTCTTTTTTCAGAGGGGAAATGATGTCCAAAGGAATAAATGAGTTCGAAGAGTTTAGGATGCCACCTCCTTTCTTGTTAGCTTCTTTCAGCTTAGAGAATATGTCAGGGGACAAAGTCTTAAAGCATTTCCCATCCCACGACTGTTTTACATAGAAGATGTTTTCCTTGTGCAATGCAGTAGGCGGTTGCTCATTCAGATGTAGGGGTATTACCTGTACAAACAGAAAAATACCAAAACACATATACCTTAACATTTACTGTTAATTTAGCATTCAAGTATTTTCATAGCATTCAACTATTTTCTAATCATATATCTTGTTATTGGAACTCATGCAATCCTTCGTTATATAGGGAAACATGTTCAACCTACATTTGTACTAGCATAAGCTTATTGCACTACAGAACTCCCATTCACATAACTTTTTCACATACAAACCTGTAAATGAGCTGGCTGCCAACAACCAAAGCGATTTTAGGATGGAAGAAAGAATATTAAGTTTTCAATGATCCTAACATATGTCAACTGCAGTAACAAATACACATCACAAATTTGGTTTGGGAGGGAATAAAGTAGCTGCACTGTTCTATTATGCTTTCCAGATTGGTTCTGTTTCTTCCCTGTGTGTGTAGAGGGGCTGCAGTACATACCATGGTGCTTTTAATAATGGTCTCTGCAGCAATATCAGTGTCAAAGCCAGGAACCTGATCAAAAAACACCTCTTGGGAAGAAACCTCTCTTTTAAGCAGTTTCCGTTTGTTCGGTGGTACCTCTGTAACATGAGAGAACCACTGCACAACCGCACGTTTCACCTGAGCACCTGCAACAGCGAAAACAAGTCAGTGAACAGTAAGAATTTTATTGTATCCCAAACAGTTATTACCAGACCTCAGCGACTTGAAGCTGAAATGCCATCAAGGATTGAAATCCACCCTGAATATGAGTGAGAAAGCATCAGAGGAGAGATTTCAATTCCCATTTTCTAAACTAAATTAAAATGTTTGACCTGAGACTTTTAAGGACTAAGACAACCTACACAAGGGTATCAATGGGAACACCTGGAGACCAGGCTCCAGACACTATTACAAATGAAGAGGTTCCTTATTTGCATAGATGTGATCCAATTGAACCCCACTATCCAAAAGCAGCAGCATAAAAGGAGAACTGAGAAATTTCACAATGTTATTTTTAATGTCAGTGTATTTTAAAAGTAAGGCAGGAACATATTCACTGCCTAACAAACCAGCACATCCTGCTGCTGACAGATCTAGGAGGAAAATCTGTTTGTAGCATTTATTCAGACTAGGTGTGTAGAGAGCTGAAAGAAACATCTGGAACATACTACAACTGCATACTAGGTTACTCTCTACATTATAAATGTTCATCTTTGAATGAAAACAGAGCCACATTTCTTTAAACAAACTTCTCAAAGATATATAACAAAAAAAAGGATCTTGTTCTTAAGGACGCTTCATGGATTTCTTTCCAGCACAAGAAGAATATTCAGTTATGTTACAATAAATGTGTATTAGTAAATAAAGAAGCTGCAGTGAGATGCATTTATGTTTTTAAAAAGAAATATAAAAAACCCCAACATTAAAACATTATTATGCTGGCCCAAAACAAACCACAAGTGTTCAAAGAAATCAGACATTGCTAATGAGTAGTTTCTAATCCAGACTGTCTTTGTATAGCCTTCCATGATTTATCTTTTTATATTTATATTTACCTACAAACAATCAGTTCTGCAAGGGGCAGAAGTGATGAGCCCCATTTATCCAGCCTTGTACCTTGCTGCTAAGTAACCTGATGTCTAATGAGATGCAAGTTCCAGGGCTGCAGTGCCCTTGCTCCACTTGGATTCTGCTGTCTAAATAAAGCATGATCTCACAAGGTCTTCTCAAGAGCTGTTTCTTTTAAATTAGGCAGCTAAGCAAGAAGATTGCAAGAATTTCATCTTTAAGCTCTCTATTTACCTATAAAATCTAGCTGAAGTTTGCTATCAGCCCCAAATAACTGGGGAGCATGTGAATATAGAAGCACTGATTTCCTTAGTAAATTAGGTCAGTGGTATAGTGTGAATGCTCACTTCGCCCCCATGAAATAGGCAACTTAAGAACATTTTATGATTTCTCAGATAGGAAACGAGGTTTTATTTCTCACCATCTTCATACAGATCCAGGAGCTGTGCCACAAAAGGTTCATCTGCGTTCTCTCCTTCTACTAAAATAAAGTCACCGACTCGTATGCAGTTTTCTGTTCCGCTTCTGTCTGAGGTAATAAGGATTCCCCTAGAAAATGAAACACATGTGCAGACAAACAGGATTTCATATTCCTCATAAGTCACATATCGCTAAAGCTGATGGCCTGTCAAGTTCAGAGCTGCTTACGCTCCTTCCTGCAAAGCTTACAGTTTAGTTTCCCAATTAAAAGCCTACATATGTATTTCAATCTGAGTTAATGCTTATTCACAGATTACTTACATGTCTTTGGTTACACATTATAGACTTATAATGCAAAAGCCTTATACTTTAGTTATAGACATGCCACGTCCTAACGCAATGCCCAAAACTGACTGCCACGTTAACCTAAACAAGGTCGGAAAGGCAAAGAAACCTTCATGGATGGAGTTTCCCTGAGCAAGCCAGAAATAAATGTTACTTACTTGTACTTTGTAGTCCTCAGTTTCCTGTCCGAGCTCATGGGCTTCCCATACCAGGAGTAGATAACTTTGCTTTGCTGCCGGGTGTTCATGATTCCCAAGGAAAAGCTAAAACAAATAAACAATTGTTTAATTAGGATTTAACAATAAAAGCAGGGAAAGACTCAGGATGTTGAGATACAGAAACCCCATCCCCTCCTTCATCGTGCATGAGAAACGTGGTGTGTGTCTGGTGATCCAGCAAGCCCTACCTTTCCCAGAGCCTGTCCCCTGAGGGTGGACGGGAAGGGAGGTGATTCGCAGTGGCTCGTTCAACACTGGGCTTTAGGAGCACACCTCACAGTCGCTGATACACTTCCATCCCTGGCAGTGCTCAAGGCCAGATTGGACACAGGGGCTTAGAGCACCCTGCTCTAGCGGAAGGTGTCCCTCCCCGGGGTAGGGGTTGGAACCGGATGAGCTTTAAGGTCCCTTCCAACCCAAACCATTCTGGGATAACTTTGTGACAAACACACAATTCCCTGCCTGCTTTGCTTATTCACAGCGGTGGTTATCAGCTGTTCCCTGCTTACTGCCGGGCCTTCCCGCTCCGCGGGGCCCGCCGAACCCCTCCACGACGGTTGCTTTACATTTCAGGGGTTCTCATTATTTTTCTCTTTTCCTCCCATAAAGAAGACCGTTCCCTCCGGAAACACCCCCCTCACCCGCCCCAGGCCGTTTAGAGAGCTCGGCCAGGGCTCTCCCCTCAGGGAACCCGCTGCCCCTCCGCCTGTGCGGCCATGGCGCCGGACGGGGCCATCAGCACCACCGGAGCCGCTCCATCAGCTCGCACAGAGCCACTCACCCCGCGGCGACACCCGCGCACGGCAGCGGCGCGCTCCCCTACGCGCCCGAGAATAGAATTCCGCGCCAAACCCGTCCCCGGGGCCCCGCCCCCGCGGCGCGCGCAGAAAGGGGCGGGAAAAGGCCGACCAGGGACGTGCGCCGCCATGTTTGTTCCTGGCGCTCTGAAGCTGAAGGGGGTGTTCTAACCCGAAGATAAGATGGCGGCCCCCAGCCGTGGCCCGGAAGCGGAAGCGGGCGCAGCGCCTCACGGAAGGGGTAGAGGGGCGGCCCGGCCCGGCGCGGGGCTGAGGGCGGTGGTGTAGCGGGCGCCATGGCGAACCGGACGGTGAAGGATGCGCACAGCATCCACGGCACTAACCCGCAGTACCTGGTGGAGAAGATTATCCGCACCCGCATCTACGAGTCTAAGTACTGGAAGGAGGAGTGCTTCGGGCTGACGGGTACGGAGGGCAGGCTGGGGCGGGAGGGTGCGGGCGCGGAGCAGCGCTGACGGCAGATCCCTCTTGTAGCCGAGCTGGTGGTGGACAAGGCCATGGAGCTGAAGTACGTTGGGGGAGTCTATGGTGGCAACATTAAGCCTACGCCGTTCTTGTGCTTGACGCTGAAGATGCTGCAGATCCAGCCCGAAAAGGACATCATCGTGGAGTTCATAAAAAACGAGGACTTCAAGTAAGTTGGTGGCTTCATTTTTTCCTGTTTTGGTTGCCGTACTGAATGAAATTAACCAAAACAGCCGGGGAAACTTCAGGATACGGTTTAGTGGGTCCTGATGAACTCTTCTTGCTAAAAGGTATGGTTTTCCTGGTGCTGTCAAGAGTGCTCTGCTGGTCACCTGGTCGTTGGAACGCTTGCCTATGTGCCATGGGGATAGAATGCCTCCTGTTGATGTGCTGGGAATAGGATACCACCACCCCAAGTATCTAGGATGCGGTGCATTAATCAGCTTTCAGTACCTAAAGAGCCTGATGGGGAATCTGGAGGGACTTTTTACAAGGGCCTGTAGGGACAGGACAAGGGGGAACAGCTTTAAACTGACAGGGGGGAGATTGAGATGAGACATTAGGAATAAATTCTTCCCTGCGAGGGTGCTGAGGCACTGGCACAGGGCGCCCAGAGAAGCTGTGGCTGCCCCATCCCTGGCAGTGTTCAAGGCCAGGTTGGACACAGGGGCTTGGAGCAAGCTGCTCTAGTGGAAGGTGTCCCTGCCCGTGGCAGGGGGTTGGAACTGGATAAGTTTTAAGGTCTCTTCCAACCCAAACTATTCCATGGTTAAGGGAGCCATGTTCATCTACTTTTCCTTCAGTATTTTTGTCATCTTTGTGAGTGCTAATGCACTAAAAATAAATAATAAAAATATGTATATAATTTATATAATATATAATAATAAAATGATGCATGTATAGTTGAGTATATAGATACTTATATATATACTTCAGTACTTTAAGGAGAAAATCTCAATGGTTATGTGCTCTATTTCAGTGTACTGAATTGCTTCAGAATCTTACAGGGAAACCTCTTAACTTCTAACTTTACCAAAAGCCAAGTTCCACAAAATGGTTTCGTTTCAGGTACGTCCGAATGCTGGGTGCGTTGTACATGAGGCTGACAGGCACTGCCATTGACTGCTACAAGTACCTGGAACCCCTGTACAATGACTATCGGAAAATAAAAAGCCAGAACAGAAACGGGGGTAAGCACTCCTGCTTGGCGGTGGGTTCTTAGTACCTCATAGGTGACCTGTTGTTAAGAACACACGTCCTACTGGGTGGAAATAAATATTCTTTTTAGTGATATAAGCTTCAAAATTGTGGCATAACCACCTTTTTGAAATCTTTTTCATCGTTTCAATAGTTGCTGGTCTTGCTGACTTACACAGATGGGAACTGCCTTGCTTATTTTGCTTTCCTCAAGTGCCTGTGTTTCCTATTGGGCACTGAAATGCAGTTCCATAAATACCAAAGCAAACAGCATTTGAGTGCTGTTTTAGCACTGTGAATCTGCTAATCCCAGCTGTGCAGTAATTTCCTTTTTGCAAGGCAGGCCTAATGATTTTCCTCATCTTTGAGAAGGATTCTACAACTGTTGTTTGTACGACCCACTTGAAGTGAATTGTCTCAAGTGTTTCATCTTTACTCTAGCCACCAGTGTTCATCTTCTTTGTCTTTTCAGTGCTGTTTTTTTGCTCCCCCAGAATTCGAACTGATGCATGTGGATGAATTCATTGATGAATTACTCCACGAGGAACGTGTATGCGACATCATTCTGCCTCGATTACAGGTTTGGAAAAGTAGATGGTTATGGAATTCTTAACTGCATCAGGTTCAGTGGTTGAATCAGCTGCTGGCTTGCTGTGTAAAACTACGATACAGGCCCTTTCAGCATACAAGCTGCTTCCTCAGGTGTTTGTTCTTAACTGGGGTTGAAGATAAAGTTGTGATTTCTCATAGAAACGATACGTCCTGGAAGAAGCTGAGCAACTCGAGCCTCGTGTCAGTGCTCTGGAAGAAGACATGGATGATGTAGAATCTAGCGAAGAGGAGGAAGAGGAAGATGAAAAGGTTGGTGAAGTACTTTGGGAAGGGATAGTTGAAGCTGGGGTGGACCACTGCAAAAAAACTTTATGGCCTGTGAGAAATATTTGAGGGGAGACATCAGGAGGCTGCTTGCACCTCCTATCTCCCCCTTAATATATTTCCATATACGCTGCTTGTAAGAACTTGTTACACCTTGGAATGGTTCTCAAGTGCTCTGTGTTTGTCCACCTTTTCTGTCTCCTCAAATTCACAAATCTGGACCTGCTCTGTGTTAAATAGGTGATGATGGTTATGGTGATCATCATAGTCAATTCTGCTCTACTAACAAACAATCAGCAGGGAGAGGTGACTGTTAATTTCCACTTGGCAAACTCGGGCATTACCACTCACTTCTGAATATGAAAGACTTGAGGGTGGGGCCACATTATCCCGGGGCTGTTGTAATTTATATTCCTGGCTCAGAAAGCTTTACCGATTAAAAACTTGGATGAAACAAAACCTCTCCTCTCCCTGCCATGGTTTCCAGCTGGAACGAGCACCATCACCTGACCACCGCAGAAGAGGCTACAGAGACCTGGACAAACCTCGCCGATCTCCTGCTGTGCGGTACAGGCGGAGCCGGAGCAGGTCTCCAAGAAGGTGACGTGGCTCTTTTTGAGCAACATTTTTACCTATCATACTGCAGATGGCTGGAGCAAAGCATAGGAGATGACAGTTCGGCCAGGATCTCTTACACCTCCCAATTCCTTTAGCTGCTTTCTGAAGGAAGGAGCTGCGGTGCACTGTCACAGTCACCCTGTCTGCCTCTTTCTCTAGCCTGTAACTCTTGAACTTGCTGGTCAACTTTATTGGACGATATAGCGAAGATACTAAGGAGAACCAAGTGCCTTGTTTTCCCGTAAACCAGAGGGTGCAGAGATAATCCAGTTAACAGTTCTTAGATAATATGTCAGAAAAAATCACTGACCTCATTTGTTCACTGTATGGGCCAGCCCAGAAACCTCCTGTGCAGCAGGCCAAACACACACTGAGGACACAGGGGGAAGTCCAGAACATAAAACAGCTGGTTCTGCTAATGATTTTTAGTGACTTTTTCTTTTCTCCCCCAATCACAGGCGAAGCCGCTCTCCAAAGAGAAGGAGGTAGTGTTTTACTCTACTATTTAATCTTAGCCTGTGTGCATTTTTAGTATGGCTCTCTTAAAAGCTTCCTCTCTCTCAGCCCATCGCCACGCCGAGAGAGGCATCGCAGCAAAAGCCCGAGGCGACACCGGAGCAGATCCAGGGAGAGGCGGCACAGATCGAGATCTAAATCTCCAGGTAGTTTTGTCACTCACAGATCAACTCTGGCAAGTCTTTATCAGTAGAACATCCACCTCCAGAAGTCAAGGTATCAAGAAGGTAGCATAGGTGCTTAATCTGGCTCATAAAACTGCTCATTATATGAAAGCACAGCTGGAAAACTCCTTTAATACATCCAAAATTGCCTTCAGTAACTTTTTCAGCTAAACCAGGAGGTTAATATGAGTGCATAATTAAGAGTGGGGTTGCTCTGGCATTATTTAGGATACTTGGTCACTAGAAGCAGATTGCATGAGCAAAACAAGAAAGAATTCAGGGTCAATGGAAGTAACTGTTACTTTTTATCTCCTAGGTCATCATCGTAGTCACAGACACAGAAGTCATTCCAAATCACCTGAAAGGTAAAAGTTTGGCTTGTTGTGTGTGTGTACTGCTGTAGGAGCTCTCCCTCTCATTTAATCTTGGCAACTGAAAGTCTTCTTACACGGTTAGAGATCAGGTATTTCATACAGTTCCCTCGGTATTGCAGTCAAGTCACACTGTCAGTATTTGACCATAGAAGACACCACTTAATACTGTCAATCACTTTGGTCTTTCCAAGCAGTTACTAGTACTGTGTCATGTGGCCTTTCTCTTTTTCTGCTTCAGATCTAAGAAAAGTCACAAGAAGAGCCGGCGAGGGAATGAATAACAGACTATATCCAGCCCACAGTTCAGGGACCTTGAACTGCAGTCAAATACTGTTCTATCTGCATTATGGGACAGCTGGATATGTACTGACTGCTTTAGCAGTCCATTCCTTTAATCCTCCTTCTGTACAAGTCCTGTTTGTTTGTTTGTTTTTAACTAAAGGAAAGGTAAGGACATTTTTTATGTAGCTGCATATCCTCATGATGTAATTTGAGATCTCTTTTTAAATTGTTTTTCTCAAGGCCTGTAAAAAAACAGTGAAAAGCAATAAAAAAAAAAAAATGGGGCTTCTGTCTTTAGACCTTTGTTGCTGTTTCTTTCATTATACTTTGTTTAGTTGAAACTGGCTTCATTCTCAAATTAGGTGCTCATGTGAGAGTATGTTCAAGTTACAGACGCTGAAGAGCCACCAGCCTGAATGATTTCAAACCTCCAATACAGGAAAGAAATGAAGACTCTCCTATTCCAGTATGTCTGCTAAAAGCAAGAGTTAAACAGCTCTCCCACGCACAAAAGAATCAGTAACAGCTATGTAAGAATCACCCTTAGTTCTAACGCTGTCGGACAGTTTAGAAGCTTCAAGTAGTACAAAACACTGCAGCTCTTTAGGCAACAGGTTACCTGCTGTACTTAAAGACAGTAAGCCACTACTGTGAGCGTGTAGTTCATGGCCTGCATGTGACAGAACATGGCACAACTAGGCTCAGCTCTGCCTTCTCTCAGTGAATTTAGCATTCAGCAAGTCTCTCGTCTTTCAAACAGAGAATCATTAAGCTCCTATTCTAGTTACAGTTCTCAATACAATTATGTATCGCTGGAAATCAGTTGTTAACCCCCTTGTGTACCATCCCTTTATTCATAGTGTTACTTTGAGAGCAGGGATGACAAGTTTAGCTCCTGAACACTGCATTTAATTGACATTTACAGTGTTGACAACACAAGAAGTAATATGGAAAAGTCCCTTTCAAATGGCAGAGCCTGATTTGCAAAAGTTTATGAACACACAAGCACCTATACTCTTCCCTAAAGTGTTTCACACCACACGCAGTGGCTGTGAACAGCACGTGCAATGGCAGCAGCATGGGGAAAACCAGATCTGCTGGTAGGACTCGTTCAAGCTGCTCACCTTTCATCTCTTCTTTGAGATACCTGAATTAAAGCCATTTTTATTATCCAGGTTTCCTGATGCCAGTTAGATGCAAGCATGCATACAAACAGGGAAGAGGAAAGAGTCTTCTGTCCTTTTTTTTTTTGCAGTTTTATTTTTCTTTTAAAAAGGTTTTTGGCACTACATCGTTCTGTAAAGAATAGAAGTGACAAATTTTTAAACACATGAAATCCCCTTCTAATTTTATTCTTTTCTTTTTTTTAGAACAATATATATAAAGTCTGAAGCAACCAAAGTATGAATACAGCTAATAGAAAATAAAGAACTTAATTTTAAAAATTCTCTCTCTTTACAGTTTATCAAGATAAACCAAAACACAATTCCCCTTAAAAATAGGGTAATAAAATAGATGAAATTTGTATCACTCGGCTTCGTGATACGAGTAAAAACTATAGTTCATATCTATGTACAAATGATACAGTTTAAAAACAGTCTTAAATAATCTTGTATCTAAACACGTTGCATTAAGGTTTTAAATCAGAACCTGAATTTCTTCCTCCCCTCCTCCCCCCACCCGCCCCAGTCCCACTGAATTTCACTTTTTCTGTTGAATGTAATTCAGATTCAAGTGTGGGTGTCCTTGAGACAGAAGCGAGAACCGCTGGTTACTCTGCATCAGTGGACCAGCTAAAAGAAAATGGATTACAATTACTTCAGCAACTTAAATATATTTAACAGTGCTTGGCTATATTCAATGTACTAGTCTTACTTAGAAATAAATAGAAATAAAGCCATTTACTAGCCTGACACAAGTGCTATCTGAACAACTACCCCATTTAATGGGACAATGCAGTCATCACTTTCATCCTAGCGCAAAATTCCCTCACCATCATCAAGACATCATTTTGGTGCATTGCTTTAGTTACTTAACAAATAGGACTTCAGGATTTTTAAATCTGGGTCTCACTTGGACACCTTGCTACAGCAAATGGATTTTGAAAAACAGATTTGGTGCCAGTATCTCTCATTTTGTACCAGGTGACCCAACTAAATGGGAATTGCAGGACTCTCAGTAAAATTTGGGTACAGTTTCTCTTTTGGTGGAGCCAAAGGTGGTCTTCCTACACCCTACCAGATGCTGAACACCTTTACCACTCACTAGCATCAGAAAGAGTGGAGATAAAGTCAGTCTTTCTGAGCACTGCAAGGAACTGAACCTGACCTAACTGCCACTAGTGCTGCTCTGACTGCAGCTGGGTTGGACTGGCTGACTCCAGAAGCCCCTTCCAACCTGGATTATTCTCTGGTCTTGCAAGTTTGTATCTATTTAAGTCATTCCCACAAGAAAAGGAATTAGGACAAAAATTTCTTCATTTTAACACATCCAGGGGCAAATCATCTTAACCTCTATTGAAGCAGAGATGGCTCTACAGTGAGGCAGCAGCAGTGAAGGAGAAGAAGCAACAGACTGCAAACTGGCTCAGATCTCAGGATTTGATATAACCCCATCCCTCCCACAATGATTTTCATCCATCCATCCATCTATCCATACAGGAAGCCGAAGCGTTGATTTGACTCTTGATTTCATTATGGTTCCAGGGAGCCTAGCAATTGGAACATGATTTCCTTGGCTTTTACAGCCTTTGAGACAGTAAAGAGACATGTTGCATGAGCTGTTGATTCATATACTAATTCTAGTACCTTGAGGGTAGAAAGGTTTGTTCGGTGGGTAGCTGGCATTTCCCTGCTGCATGTAGTTCTGAGGCATATTGTAAGGCCACGCTCCTCGGAGGAGAGGAAAATGGGTAGGGGTCCCATGGTCCCAAGGGACAGAAGGAGGGTTCATTTTACCAAACTGTCCTTGGAAACCCTGATCTAGTTTTCAATTGAAAGGGAAAAGCACATTGCAAGTTGAAATAATTAAACAGTAAGTCACAAATACAGTTTACATCTTAAATAACAATTTGTAGGGGACTTATTGAGATTAGTCTGATGTGCTACTCTTGCTCTTGTTAAAACATACATCAGTAAAAATTACCACCTAAATTACTTTGTTATTCACTAGAACAGAATTTATTGGGGAGAAAGACAGAGGATGAATCAGTATTAAAATCAAGACCTACATTTTCACTATTCCTATGTCATTCTCGTGATGAAAAACACAACGGCTGAACAATGTTATTAATATCTGATCCCACAACAATATTCACTATCACTGACATAGCTGCGACACGAAAGCTATTATCCTACTGCAAGAAATCTTGGATGTACACTGGAATTCCACTAATTCTTGTATGCTTAAGAAACTTGGTATCTAGGTCATCAGACCAACTTAAAATGGAGGTTTAGAGAGGAAAATCAAAGCTTTTTAAGTGAGTACATAAATTGTAACTATTGTATTTACAAATCCAGTATTACTGCAGCATTAAGGATGAGAAATCAAGCATCCAAGGAGTCAGGACACACAACAGTTGATGGCAAATGCTATATTCATAGCTCCCAATTTTGTAAGACAATTAGCTATGCCTGCTGATTTAAATACCTCATCAATGTACATTCAAAAATGAATAAAGACATTTAAGTAACTATCCTTCAGTGTATCAGTTCCCCTTCAGACAGACTTCCATTAAATAAAATCGACATGTTTATATAGTAAAACATGGATCATGGCTCTGGAGTGTGCATGAAAAAAAGTTGTCTGTAACTCCTAACAGTCTGGTTTCTGATCAATTGTCTGCTGAAAACAGAGCTCCTCCTTCCAAGTCAGTGAAAGAATGTGAGGAAAGAGTTTCCACAAACCTAAGTGTTCTCAAACATCCCAAGCAAGTAAGAAAGCAAGCTTCAAACAGAGCACACAGCTCATCACTGTTTGTGCCTTCCCAGCCACCCCACCTTAATGGCATCTAAGCCAAACAGGAAACAAAACTGATTTAAATACAAAGAGAAAAAAATACTGTAACTGGGAACTAGGGAAAGCAGTGTGATAAGGCTGGAAATACATGGAAGCTAAGCAATTGAGGGGAGGAAATACTGTGACTGAGAGTACAAGAGCACTGGGAAACCTGTACAGGCACAATGACAGTGGAAGCAAACAGACTGAGAGTGAAAGGAAAAGGGACTGACTGACTACATGATGAGAAATGGGACGTGTTGACGGAGAATGGAGAAGAAACTAGGATCTGGGGAGCCTGTCTGAAAGAAAGCAGCTACCTGGATAACAAGACTTGGATTGGAAGGAGCTGCTTAAGAAAGTCAGAGCAGGAGGTGGACATGGAGGAGGGGGCAGATGAGCCTGGACAGAGGATTAAGATCAGAAATGGAGAGATAGGGACAAAGCCCACTGAAGGCACAAAAAACACTGGGAGCAGTTTTTGCATCGCCTGTTCTCCACAGAGCTCTGAATAGAACAAGAATATCCAACATTTCAACAAATACTTGCAACTTGCTGGTGAATTACACCTCATCCAGCACTCTTGGCTCAGCTGAAAATCTACTGTTGCTGTCAGTTGCCTTACCAGTTCAGAGAAAGGCTGTGCAGGAGGTTCAACATTTCCATCTCATGGTGAGCAACTGCATTAGTACATTGTATGATGGATATAGTTTTTTAAACATAGGAGAAGTTACACACTTGGAATAAACCAAAACACCATTATTATGATTGAAAGATCACAGTTAAAATTTAGGGGTTGCCATGGTTTCTACTGCACAGAAAACTGTATGGGCTTTAATCACAACATACTGCTTTTCTCAGCCTCAAGCACACAGATGTGCTTGGCTTTGGCATGAGGCAAAAGGCTGCTGCCCACTTTGTCGCAGGGAGAATCTATGAAGTATTTTCAGGAAACAACATTGACATTATGGTGGTTAAATGTGGCAGGATAAACTATAGGAGAAAAGAATGCCTAAGATCACGTTATACTGCACTCAGTGCAAGGAGGCAATATTCAACTTGCACTAACATAATTCTGCCAGTCTCTAAGTTTGTAGCTGCAGTCTCAACATGCTCCTAATAAGCTACCTAACACAAACAGAAGCATAGTCACAGAAA